AGAGAGGTTTTGTGTGCATTTCGGATTGTGAGGGCGTTTGTTACTTCCCGGCTGCCCACACCGTGGAAGTTGGTTGCGTGACCGCAGAGCCCAGGGGACAACTGCTTGAGGCCGGTCACACGCGGCCTGTTTTTGTTTGTTCTCTTTTGTTTGGTGTGCCTCAGTAGCATACTTATCACTCCTGCCCTGTGACACGGCAGCAGGAAGCGCGGTCGTTGTTAATCCGGGCCACGGCCGATCCGGCATGAAATTTTGTGAATTTGTTTGGATCATGGTATTGGATGGGTAGCTGCTTTTTGTTTAACCGCTATCCAAACAACCTGCCTGGCATGGTAGAACCTCAAGAGACATAAGTCTCAGCCAGTATAGCTTGATTAGGTCATTGCGGTGTTCAAGCCCGACCACCACGTCAAGGTAGCAGCTTTCGGTCGGGGCACTCCACACTGATTTTCTAAATCATTTCGCACACCTGTCGCTGACTGAACAAAACATTCAAGTTCACTGATCTTTTCACTACTTCGCTTATTCGTAGATTCCAGCTCGACGATTTGAGTTACCACTCTGCAGATTTCTTTCTCCTTCAATAAACAAAAATTCTCAGCAGCTGAAAGTTTAACTGTTAAATTTTTATTCGTCGCCTGTAAACGACCAACCAATTCATCGCTACTTTTCAAGCTCTCTTCAACCTCTAACAAATTTGTTCGTGTTTTAGACAGATCGCATCTTCTACTTGATCGAACGCGAACGACAGATCGCATCGTAACTCGGCCACCTCATTTTTTAAAACACGTGATACAGTCGACGCTTGAATTGCTGAACTTGTAGTGTAGGTTTACATCAGATGAGATTGAGTATTGTGAAAAGTTGAAAGACACACTGACTCCATTTTACTAGACAAATTGGGAGAATCGTAAAATTCTCAGTAACATAAGTATTTGAACTTCTTCAAACAGACTTTTTGTGTCTAACTTTACCACATTTATGATACTTAGCACCCCGAAAAAGGTAAGTGCTTCGTAGATGTAACTTTCCACAGGAAAACACAGTTTAATGGTTTTGCTCTCTCGCTGCATTCCATTACATGTGGACGAAAGTTTGGATTTCTTTCTATGAACACTTGTATTATCAACTTTGGACAGCATGACATCAGATACTGACGTAGTGGGAGCTTGATGTTCACTGTTGACACCTTCATATGTAATACATAAATCCTTAGAAGTTTGAAAGGAGCAGGAAGGAATCTGAATCAACACTTTCTCTGACTTAGGAATATTGATTCCAGCAATTAGATGATCACGTAGTTGAGTATGCAGCTGATCTCCAAAGTTGCACTTTGAAGCTTGTATCTGAAGCTGAAGAATAAATTCTCTAATCTTCTGGTTGGAAGCACGAACAAGTTTATTGGACTGAGCCCTCTCTCGCGTTTCGAACGTCGTTATGTGGAAGTGATTTGTTAAAAGTTCACGGAGTTTATCATATGACAGAGAAATTGGTTTATCTGGAAATGACTGAGTTTTCATTAGGCTGTACGCATCTAGCCCGATAGCAGTAATAAAATGAGCTGGAATTTTATCATCGCGAACATTCTTTGACATGCAACATGCGTCGAAGCATTCAAGAAAATCGGCGATTTCCCGTGGTGAACCATTTATTGGAAAATTTCCAAGATTATTTAATTCCATAGCGACGCAAAAATGTTGTAATTATTTGTAATAGTAGTATTTGTATTTCGGAATCACGGAATTAAAGGAATTCAACCAAAACACAGAGAGGAATGAACTTAGGAATTTGTATTTGGCCGAATTATATATCACTCAATCTGTAAGAACTGGCGTGGAATCATGCTCTTGTCCACGCCGATTAAAATACTAAGTCGCATCATCCTGTAGAAAATAGAGAGTGCACTGGATACATAAATCAGCCAGCCACATCGAAGCAAGCTGGCTGGATTCAGGAAAGCTCATCAAGTTGCGACTCTATGCATCATCATCGCAGAACGCAGCCTAGAATAGAATGTCGGTCAAGGCCTACTCCACCTCAGTTTCATCATCTTCGAAAACGCCTCCGACAGACAGCGTAGACTGAAATGTAATTTGGAAACTACTTCAACACTACGGCGTACAGTGTCCGAGGCTTTGTCATCCTCATCGAACAGCTGCCCCTATGGCAGCGTCACGTGTCAGGTGATCCACAGTGGGAAACTCAGCGAGGCGCTCGAAGTGAATTCAAGAGTAAGACAAGCTGGCTGCCTACTATCACTGATGATATTCCTCATTGCAGTGGACTGGATTATGCGTCAGAATGTGCATTGGCAGTGAAAAGACAGGAATACGCTTGACCACAGATACGAAGACTTAAGAAGATCTAGATTTCGCGCCTGGATGATGTATGTCTACTGTCACACAAACTCGAAGAATTGCAGCTTGAAATCGACAAACTGGATGAAGAGGTCAGCAGCGAAGACAGCACTTCAAGTTAACATAGAGAGGACGAAGTTGATGAATATAACCAACGAACCACAACAACAATAACAACCAGCACCAATCAACATCAACATGAGAGACTTTCACCAATAGCTTCCACCTTCACTGACTGACTCCATAATGAAGATCGAATGGCCAGAAAGAAAGGATAAGCAACAAGAAAACTCTGGCTGATAACAAACCAACGGAGCAAGACCCGATTACTCAACAAACATGTAGGAGGAAATGGAGATGGATCCAGTACACGTTGAGGCTATCGTCGAATGACGTCGCGTGCAATGCAGGCCATCGCTCGAGTGGTATTCCGATGGGAAGCGGAGAGTCAATCGTCAGTGCGAGGGTGACATAGAGGAGATCGTGTGAGATAGACATAAGAGAGTTTACTGAATCGTGGATCCAGCTGAAGAGGATGGCGTAAAATACAGCAAAGTGGAGCTGTGTTATTCGGAATCAAAATGAGAAGTAATAATAATAATAAATGATTCGACTGGACATTTAAATCATTCCACAACACTTACAATGCTCACATTCTCGTTATATGTGTAACTTTTATACCATTTTGTATATGCTTTTCTGTCTATTCCAATAAAGACCAGTTAAAGAAGAAACTCACTGGACTAATGGCATTTGTTGGGAAGCCTTAAGCATGCATCACAAATATACTCCTAATTTCATCATTCGATCATTTCATTAGACTTATCACAGAAAATAGTTTTATCTGTAATAGACATACAGCCTACATCATTTTACAAAACCTAATAGATAACACGCGTTAAAAACATCCACTGTATATCAGGTCAACGTCACTCAACTGAATCATCTTCAATACCACCCACGAAGTTGTCACTCATTAGTCATTCACCAAGATAAACGCTTAGACACCAATCATCAGATCTTGAGGGACAACTTCATGTCTAAAAACGTGTCAAACAGTGTGTAACTGTGCTATCAAACAAAAACATAAAATACACCTTATGTGAAGACAATTTACTATTAAGTGTTATTTATTTCTAATAAAATAACTGATGTACGAGTGATGTGATTGATTCGAAACAGTCACACAAGAAGTCGAATGACCTAATTAAATTGAGGTAAACATGTGATAATAAACTGTGATTGTGTAACAGGTAAAAACTATATAAATGCTACAGTTATATTTAACGAATCAGTTCATCTGTCGCTAGAGAAATTGGTACGTCTAACTGCCATCATTATTAATTATTAATATTATTATTGATTATTATTATTACAATCACCATTAAACACCTTTGTACTTCATACATTTATTACGCTCTACGAATCTGAACGAAGCCAGAACAACAGTTTTGCAGAGTAGAATGGTACCATCATTTATTTTGTCGGCTTCTTATCACCTGCTCACAACTCAAAGACATCATTAAGTAAACCCATAGAAACAATCTTGACATCCTTGCAGAGTTCATCTTTAAACAAGAATCATTCAGTCATTATATGTATATAATGCTGGTAATAATATTAAACACTTTATTCTGAACAATAATGATCATACACAATGGAAACATTCGACATTGTGTAATCAGATGAAAGACAGGATGAAAATGTCGAGTTAGAAGTGAAAAGAAACACTGACATTCGCTTCTTTCTCAACTCATTAATCGGATTCAACCCGCTTCATGGATATTGCTTCGGCAAACTTGAGGAGAATCGAACACTGTTCCTCGCCTACTGATAGGTTTGAATGATCTTTCGAAGTCCACCTCATGACGCGTGTCAAGGAGATTCCTGGCGAGGGCACTGTTCAAAGCATCTGTTCCCTTCAGACATAGGCCCTTTAGTACAAGTTTAGAAAATCGTAGGTTTGCCATTCTTTCTGTTCTCACAATGTAACTGCTTCCGCAGATACATGTAAATTTGTAAATACAATTGAAGTTAACGTGACAAGGATATCAGTCTATTTTTGACTGTACCAAAAAACAAGTTGTTCGATAGATGGAAACCAGCTTGGCTGCATGATAGGCTCTGGCTAGCCATGTTCTCAATATTCTGCTCACGGGTGCTGTAATATTATTCATGAACCTTTGACGATAAACATTGCTTCCCAACATCTTTCATATTTCATGGCTGGAGAAACAGTCCTTAAATATTTAAGTGTAAAATGCACAAATTATAATGGCAAATTGTAAATTACGCACGTATCTATCTCTAACACTTTACAACATAATTAGCATATACGGTCTGCATTGTCCTGTCCAACTTTTGACTACTTAATGTGTCTACGTAAGTATATTTCTCTTGACATTGTGAGTCCGATACACGCAATAAGTAATCGGCTTTCAAAGTCCAGAAATAATTATCGTTTCCAGTTAGCCTCGGTTATTCTGTGCGTTAAAGTTATATATACCAAAGAAGTGAGGATTACAAGTATACCGGATATTATCATCGTATTTTCATTCTGTTCATCGCATCAAACTTGTTTTCCTTCTTTCTTCATAGAATTGTTCTCATCTGGTTGATTACTGCGAAAAGTGTGTGAAAATTATGCGAAGTATCCTCTTGTTTCTACTAATCGGTGCTGACATTTATAATGTTCACATAAACAGTAAGTCGGCTTGAACTGAGTTATTGTTACACGTACATATGAACTGACGTCTTACTTTGCTGTATTTATACACATAAAACACGATTAATCAAGCGTAGTATGCCGATAGAAGTTTAATCAGCCAAACATTCAAACACTTAGTCAGGAATATTCTCTCTCATTGTCTCGCTGACAAATACGTCTCGATCTGATTGTTCCAAACTTAACAGCTTCTCTTCGGATATCAGCCAATGGTCTAAGCTAAATGATTTTTGCTTCAACACCTCTAAATTTCAGTCAATTAACTTGACATTAAGGTGTAGATGCTTCAAAAGCTGTTTCCAGCGAAGAGGGTACTGAAACAGAAACTTAGTCAAGCATTAAATACCGTGAAGCAGAATTATCCCCTGACCTCTCTTCCTTCGTCATCATGTATCATATCGATTTCCAAGAACACTTCCCATCTAATCTTCTACATTAAGACGTGGAGACAACGAGATATGACTCAGCCACTACTTTACAGCTTGTTAACGTATGATTTTAACAATAATATCAATATCACTGCTTTGCACATTTTATGAAATTCAGGCTTTATTTCATATTACTGCTGAAATGCACAAGCGAGAAAATTAGAATCGGTTTTGCAAGTAAACGCTTGAAGTCACATGAAAATATCCCTTGTAGTCCCCCACTTGAGATTCACTTCGGAAAGCTCTTAGGAGTGTGTTGGAAATCGCGGGTATCTTCTGATGGATTTTATAGGACTATTTAGCACAGATTAGTTTGGCGTCAAAGCGTTGCTCATGAAAGTGATACTGATTTTGTGTTTAGGATTAATACTCTTGATCTGACAGATATATTACTCTTTCATTACACTTTATTATTTCTTGAACTTCCAGAAAGGGAAACACTGAGCAGCTCAGAAGCTAGTAGCCTGATTTTGTGCATTCTTTTCGAAATAATAATTCTGCAGTTATTCTCGAGAAATTATCTGGGAATAACATAGTCTGACTGACATAAAATTTGGTCTAACTATGTGCGGATTGTTATCAAAATAAATTACTTAATTCCATATTTTGAATGTGATTGAACCTGTTTCAATTATTTTACGCTGTGCCCTAGGTATTCCGTTGAACGAAAATAGACTTCCACAATATCCACCCTTCGCTGGACCACCACCCGCATTCGGACCACCTCCACAATTCGGGCCACCCCCACCACTCGGACAACAACCAGAATTCCCACCACATCCACCATTCGGACAACCACCACTATTCGTTCCACCGCCACAGCCCGCACCACCTCCACCATTCGGACAACCACCACAATTCCTTCCACCGCCATCGAATGGGCAACCTCCACACTTTGAGCCACCGCCATCAGGTGGGCAACCTCCACAATTCGTTCCACCGCCATCGAATGGGCAACCACCACAATTCGTTCCACCGCCATCGAATGGGCAACCTCCACACTTTGAGCCACCGCCATCAGGTGGGCAACCTCCACAATTCGTTCCACCGCCATCGAATGGGCAACCTCCACAATATGGACCACCTCCACAATTCTCACCACCGCCATCAGGTGGGCAACCTCCACACTTTGAGCCACCGCCATCAGGTGGGCAACCTCCACAATTCGTTCCACCGCCATCGAATGGGCAACCACCACAATTCGTTCCACCGCCATCGAATGGGCAACCTCCACACTTTGAGCCACCGCCATCAGGTGGGCAACCTCCACAATTCGTTCCACCGCCATCGAATGGGCAACCTCCACAATATGGACCACCTCCACAATTCTCACCACCACCATCTGATGGGCGAACTCCTCAGTTACCACCACCCCCTCCTCCAGGATCCCCACAGGGATCTGCACCGATGTACCAACCACCTTCAGGTGGACAGTCCCCTCCATTCGGACCACCAATGCTCGGCAATGACGGATCGAAACCCTCACCTCCAGCTGAATCTGAACACCCATCAGCGGAGAAATAAACAAGAATCTCATTCCAAGTGAAAACATTGGTATTTCTATGATTTCGCTAACACTCGATACGTTTCGCTTATGAAAACATCCAGATATTTCTGTCTACAAATGAAAAGGTAGAGGAATAAAACGTGTTCATTCACATTTATCAGAGATATCAGTACTCGTTCATAATTTTGTTTACCATATGTTATTTTTATATGACATCATCACGATTTGTATAAATGTGAATCACTCTCATTCTCTTTCGGTTCGCATCACACCCTTCTCATTTCGACAGTAAATTGTAATCATCTTTGTCGAATTATTTGTTCTATTCTGTTTAGTTTTAAATAATGTATCAATTTCACCTTCCAGTTTCATTATTAATAAATGTATATATTATACTTATTTCGAATGCAGAAGCCAGCTAGTGAATTATTATTATTATTATTTGATACATTTCATTATTGCATAGGGTTTCCAGTGGAATTCGGCGCTTCAACAGCCCATGTCCACCTCACCGAGTCCTCTGGAGTAGTTTCCGGCTGACTTAATGAATCCCCATACGCCTTCATTTGCTCCTGAGGCGATGTTCTATATTTTAACCTTAGAAAAACACTGAATTCGTCATTTCCCGTTCGCATTTCATTTAAGTTTCTTCTTCGTATCAGTCAAACAGTCTTATCAGGCCATATCCAGTACATCCAGGTTTCCTGGCGCATATTGATTAGTTCTTGGTTCGTCCAATGACGAAGTTTTTTGTTGTAAATCTCTCCTCGAAATTCAATCTTCGCTATCGAACCATCAATTCATCGTAGGATGGTGAGATGTTCACAATCGACACTGTAAAATGCAATATTGTTTATGTGCGAACGTAACAAAGCGTCTGCAACTTCATTATTGTTACCTTTTACGTGTCTTATATCTGAGGTGAGATGCAATATGAACTCAGGATTTCTTAGTTCACTGGGTGAGTTGTTGTGTTGTCTTGCTAATAACCAGCTGTTAAACGAGAAGACACTCACAGTCAGAAGCAAAGATAATGCGCATTTTTTCCCTCATGCCGAACAACTCAAACGTTGCCATTAGGGCGGTTCTGCCACAACAAGTACTCGGTGAATGCCAGCCCTTCGCATTCTTTTCAAAACGACTGATTCCTACTTAGTGTCGCTATAGCACCTTCGGTGGAGAATTACCAGCTGTTTATCTGGCCACCAAACACATGCTTTCCACATGCTGGAAGGTACAGCTTTTACTGTCTCCACGGATCACATGATGTAAGCGCTGTATTTACGTAAGCAGTCAGTAAACCGTTGCGAAACTATTGCGCATTTTGGGATAGAATAACGTTAAAAACTGATGAATAACCTTGAAATTCTTGTATCTTCTTTGAACAGTAAGGTAGCGGATTATTCCTTATACCATTCACATTGTCAGGAACTGGTACAATTCCTCGACAATCGATCAAGTGCCTAAGGAGTTCCAATGACTCACTCACAAAATGAGTTCAAAATATGCAAAGTGTATAGATTCAACATAGTTAGGAAGCTTATTATCCGGAATGAGTTTCCATACGTCCAGTTAATAAATTCATGCAGTACTTAATGGGGTTTCGATTATAACTCTATAGTTATAATAATGTTTTCACGTTCTGTTATGTGGTGACGCTGTTCACTGCCAAAGAAGAACAACACTGTATTGAGAAGCACAAGTGGAAAGATGTGTTGTTAACGAAATCAAATTTCCAAAAGCGCGAGGCGAACGCGAAAGTATCTAACCGCGTAAGATAAATGTGTAACAAACGAAGAGCAATGTTCAGAAATACAACGTCAGATATTCCACAAACACTTGTAAAATTATTCTCCGTAAACGTATAATATGTGTACGTGGATTTGTAAAGGATTATAAACTTACAGTTTGAGCAAACACAGAATAAGTTGTCGCGTTTCATTTGCATGGAACAACCATTTGAATCTTCTATTTACTTGCTCTACATTTCCACAGTCATAAGCGTTACCGGAAAAATGGCTTGATTTGTGCTGAAAATTGTCTCGAAACAACCATCTTGCTTTCTGTCTAAATTATATCCTGCATTTTTTCCTAAGACTGAATATTCGTCTTTCGACGAATCATTTCACACACTCCATGTGGCAATGAATTCACAAGGTAAAAGAATATATAGTCAAGATTCAAACATAAGTTACTTTGAGCAGAGAGAGAATTGCGAATACGCCCAAGTCTACAGGACTCAATGAAACATATGCAGTGTTTACAAGAAGGCTTACACTTCAGTTTCGTTAATGGAGAAAATTACCTCTCACTTGACTAACTCCCATGTGCTCACATCATCTTCTGTATTCAGAAGAAACAGCGCATTAAAAACAAAGCCGGAGTTAACGATATCACCTATGAAACGTCTATCTTTGGGTATCATTTAAGTGCACTTGCGGTAGCCAGTAAATCTGTAGTGCACAGAACGCAAAATGATCTTGTGTCAGGTAACACATTACTAAGCGATGTATACTTTAAAGTAACACTGCAAATAAGTCGAAATTGTGTACTAGCTCTATGATTCCGGTCGAAAACATGAAGCATTTCGACTTTGTGTAGCATAAAATTTCTGATCCTACAGATTCATGCTGGTTCCTGAAAAATGATCGATTCCAGTTGCATAAAATAAACATGATTTTGAATATAAAATGTCCCCCATTGCTGGTGATGAAAATGACGAATTCATGCCAGATTATCAATCAAATAATATCTCAAAATTAGCAGTATGAGTAACATCTATCTTAGTCAACCGCCGGACTATTAATACTATTAAAAGATACACTTAACAGGCTGAACCGTATAGAAGCTATGAGGGCTAGATTTCGACATCTTTTGTACATCGCCGAAATTCACTAATAGTCACAACCCCTTAGTGGGGAATTAAGTTGCAATCGATTTGTATTTTTCGAGTTACACCTAAGTAGAGGAGAAACATCATCATTTTATAACACTATTCAAATTATTTATACAGATCTGTGGTTTCGCATTTTCTGAAATGGCTGAACTGAAACGCTTGTGATGAAATCGTGTACCTGGTATTCATGTTTCTCGCATTAGTAAAGGATTCCATACTACAGAATTATTGTTGTTATTTCTGTCTAAATTTGATAGCCAATTAAAAACAGTTTCAAGTATTGGTTTGTAGGGATTTGATTGATTGTTTATAGAACTTCATCATGAGCTGATATTAGTTGGAGAAACACTGGAGGACCTCGCAATACTCGACAGCTGTTTCCTCATCAGTACGCACCCACCACCAGGGTTCAGACACAAGACATTATGGTTACAAGGCGAGCTCGTAGACCAGTGGCTTAATGGTCGAGACAACAAAGATAGCATAATATTGTTGTGATCGATCACCCATTTCATCTTAACTGGAGGCTAGTTCACAGTTACGCTCAATCGACTGAGCTGTGCTGCGATAGACATTTTATGTATATACTTTCTAGAGTTTACACAGATGGACAGGAGGACATGATGTCTATGCATTTTAGAATGAAGTGCTTCATTGCTTCTTGTTGAATCTCATGATTATTTTCTGGGCCAAATATTTACCGTGTGCACTTCAATGACATGAATGTGAATCCTGTGTTCAGTGAATACAGGTCAAAGTTCTCTTCTAATCACACAGTCAATAAAACAAAGATAGAGTATTTGACCTAGATAATAATATTGGCATCATCTCACTCCTACAGTTTACTCAGTCATTCTCGTAAATGCGTTCATTTTATAGTAAATTGTTGGTTGAATTCGAATTTTAACATATTCGCATTTGAGTTAGAACAAGAGGAGTGAATTTAACAAACACCGATTGACGATAAGTAGTTCCATTTTGATAACATCAGTATTGTTTGATCACATTCTGCTGAAAAAGTGGACAATCTGCGACATACTTGAGTGACTCAAAGCGTGAGGTTGACATCACGGAAGATAATCGGACAGACAAGTCAAGAGAACATTTTGGGAAGAGAGAAAAGAAGAACCATTTCCATCATGCTAGAAGTGAGAAACGTAACCTTGAGGTAAGACTTTGTTTATTCAATAATTTATTGAGTGTGGTTTCGCAAAATAGTATATCACTAAATAAAAAACAAAATAGGAGGCAGCTTCAACAGAGATAACACCAGAAGGTGTGAGGAAACTGGATATTCTTTTGTTATGAATATTATCTGTCTTCAACATCGTCACATCACACTTTCATGTGATCTTTGACAATTACTCACGTTTACGGTATTAAATCTCTGAAGAGATTCTATCCCTATTCTACTTATAAGCTAATTTTGAGATACAAGAATTGTAAGCCTTCTGGAACAGTATGTCTCTTGCATGATGTCAACATAATCGCCATACGTGAGACAGCTGATAAGTATTGACAGTAGTTGTGTTGCACTGTGTTTCGGAGTAATATCAATCAAACACACGTGGCTGAAGGAATTAAGTTGCAGTAACATTTCATGAATCACCTATCTGTCTCTACCGATCAGCTAGTTAGACAAGCATATGGTGGTCTCTGATCGGAAGCCATGATTAACATTGTCGTTTTCACAATGCTATTGTAGGTCATGTTGTCTGATAATCAAACTGAAATAATCTGTGGTGTTCTGGTTATAACTCTGTTGTCGACAGTAGTATTACTCACCTGCTTATAACAAGTAGTGCAGAGTTTTCTTCTTGTACTGTCATATATTTTCACTTCAGAAACAAACAATCATTGATTCTGTAAAACGTTGCGTAATATATAAAATGTTGTCCATGCTGTATGTCTGAGATCTACCTCTACATACAAAAAGATGGAATTGCAATGGGATCTCCTCTTGGCCCGCTTTTAGCAGACTACTTTATGGCCAGTATGGAGAGTGGAGTTTTAAAATCAACAATAAACAAATTACTACTATACAAAAGGTACGTTGACGATACCTTTATAGTCTGCTACGACAACTCGGACTTCAACTGCATCGCACAAGAATTTAATAAT